AGATTGGAAATAGAGAAAATTAGAGTATGAAATTACTTATCTTTCTTATGATCTAATAATACAAAAAAACAATTAAACAAGGCAACAAACAAAAATTTACTCCAAACCTCAAGTTAAACTCATAAAGACGAAAAAATAATAAACTATGGTACACATCATAAATGGTAAAATCTCCATTGAAAATTAATTCTTATGAAAATCCATATAACAATAACTTGATTATATTTAGCAATTCTCTGGGATCTCGATTCTTAATGACCGATCACTTTGAAAACAACGAGAGATCTGAATTCTTGTGAAATATTGAACTAAACATATTTTTTCCATGTGGTTACATTAAAACTATGAATTTGTAAAGTACTTATAAAATTATTTTAATTTTAATTTTGATTACCCATTAAAGAAAAGAAGAAGCGCATGAAAAATAAATTTTAACATGAGATAATTTTTGAGTATAGTGTTCAAAGATTTAGTGCATCTTGATATAAGCAAAAAGAGAAATTTGGAAGAACCAAATTCACTATTGGTTCTCAAGACAATACCGAGAATCAGATCGGAACCGATTAGCTCTCGACCTACGGTTCCAAAGTTCACCCATTTAGTAGAGGAATCGAACCTAACTCATCAGTTCTATTTGATTCTCATATGATTCCACCAATTTCGGAAAAAAATGCCCACCCTAGTTCAAACCCGTTATTTAGAGCATTGACACCAAAATTCAGCAAAATCATCTAGAAAAATGGCTTGGTCTTGGTGTTAAATTAGATATATAACAGAGTATAAAATCCAATAATTATATTTTTGGAAGGTATGACTTTGTCAATGGTTGACTCATTATTGAGAAAAAAAAGTCATTTTCTCTTCCAAGGCTAAAATTTATTCTAAAGGTGAAGATTTCAATTTTTTAAAACATTTGGGTGAACGGATAGTATCATCTTAAAAATAAAATAATAGATGTGTTATGATGGCTAAGTCGTTCAATTATCTAATTCGAAATTGATTAATTTTTGACTGGTGTGAGTGATAGAATTAATGTTCAATTTTATATTTTAATAGTTTTTTCAGAATGCCTTATTTCAAGGGATGGCATTTCCTCAAAATAATTGCACTTTTGAATGGTCATGAAAGACATGTCCTTTTAATTTTTTTTTAAAAATACGCTCAATCAAAAGACATGAGTTGAGGGGACCTCTTTGTTTCATCCTTCTTTTATATCTTCGTGTAAAAATAAAAATTGATAACAGAGACTACATAACTCCATTTTTTTATTTTTATTCTTCAAATGAAATTGTCTCGATTTAACGGTTGTAAGCAAATTGTTTAAAATGAAAATAAAAAATAAAAAAAAATACACACACACACAAAATTAGCACTAAATTTGTAGGACGATTTAAAGTCAAAATATTAATAAATGGGTCAAATATTATTAGTGTTATGTGGTGATGCTACATTTCAGAAGTCATACACGTGAATCGCATGTTGTTAACAAATGTCGCGGTCACAATATGTGAATCTTGAAATCACATTATGGGAGTTTTAGAACCACAGTCTTAAATCCAAACTAAAATTTAAGATGATTAGAAATATTTTAAACGAATCATTTACATTATAAACAAAAATCTTAAGCTAGAGAGTCACAATGCTAACAGACGTGACACCACATTTTTATGAAATTCAACGTACTCTCTTAGGTCGTAGAAGGTGAATGGAGATGGAAAGAAAAATTTCGAAATTCCCAAACTCTTATGACATAAAAGATGGATGAATAAGGCAAACTCTCCATGCTTGGAATCATGATTTGGGTCTAATTATGTCAGATTTGATCTCCTATTCGCAGAGGGTAAAAGTTATAATGTTTATTGTGAGTGTGGCAATATGTGACTATAAGGTATGCGTGTGGTTGATAATATAAGTTATGTAACTATTCCATTTTCTTTCAAACTCATTTTAATCATATTCTTTCAATAAAATAATTTTACACTTAAAATTAAAAATTATCCTACTTTATAACCACACTTTTTTTTTTTTAAAGATCACTATTTGCAAAACTAATTTTTGAGTAAAAATTGGGCTCAAACATAATTATAATGTGTTTTTAAAATAAATTCTTGACTTTGATGAATTTTTCCAAACAAGCACTAGAGCCCAAAACTTAAGTTTTGGTGATGGACCAGAGATTGGGCCAATCTGTGTATTTGTTTTGCTTTCCCTTGGGAAATGATGCTCCCATTAAAGAAACCATTAGTAAAATTATATGAAATTTGTACCCATCTCTCTACGCACATGTTACCAACAATGTTCATAAAATTTAATCATATTGATTGGTACAATAAAATCGAAAAAATAAAAATTGTTTAAAATAAATCATGGCGCTAATGAACTTCAATTTTCCTTTTTTTTTTTTTTTTTTTTTTTTTTTTTTTTTTTTTTTTTTTTGTCCAATCGATTTGGACTTTTGGACTTGACAATTAAAATTTTGATCAAATAAAATAACAAATAAACATCGTATAATAACACGTAATGTATCGAAAACAACAATCAAGACTAAATCTAATCCCCAGCTGAATCTTATTGGCCGAAAACCACACTATCTTGTTTAAAGAACAAAGCTTTATAGGTTGAAATAGTGGAAGAAATAGAGGGGCAAAAGCCAAACATTTTCAAGTGGACACCACTTTAATCATTAATAAGGATTACTATTTGTATATATTGCAATTAACAACTATAAGGTATTTGTGTGGTTGATGATAAAAGATGGCCTATTATAAATGATCATCATCAACAACAAAGTAATCATAATTGGTTAGAACATTCTATTGGTAATATCAAATTAAGCAACAAGATCATGGGACAAAATGAAAATGGAAGAGTTTATTTTTTTTCAATGTAAGTATATCTGTTAAATCAAATACGCGATGAAATTATTCATTAACCACGATAAATTCTCCAATGAATAATAAAAATACATTATGGAAAGATGTGTTTGTTTAGAAGAGGTCTTAACGACTCTTTTTGAAATATCTAGAAACCATAGAAACATTGATCAAAACAACAAATCGACTAGATCGAGAATTGAAAAGTGCATAGAAATAAAGAGTAGAACATGGGAGATTTTTTGGGCTGAAATCTTAGAGATTTGGTGACCACTTTCAACACTTAATTTCTTGTTGAGTACTTACAAAAATGGATGACTCTCATAACATTAGAATCATGCAGAAACGACATTAAACGTACAATGATGTTTTAGATTATAGAGATATAGCCATACAAACTTATAATTTCAACAACCAAAGAAACCCTAAAATTATTGTACACTAAGAACATGAAACAATCTAATATGTACACTTTCTGTATCACAAAGATTAGAGAACACCAAATTCTTGATCTTCTTACAACAAGTGAGAGTAAAATGTGGAAAGAAGATGAAGCAGAAGAGGCGAACTAGAGGTTTCAAGAGAAAGAAATGCTCTCAAAAGCCAAAATCAAATTATCTCAATCGAATACTCCATATCCCTTCATCCAATGGCCATAATAAGTCCACGTGTCACCTCAATAAAAGCCACCACTAATAAAATCGCATTTCAAATATACGCCATCTTCAATTTTGGTAGCAGGCAATCTCAACACTTTTCCATCTTAGTCTCTTATTGGCCAGAATTAAATTTTTTTTTTTTGGTCTTTATTATGATTAAGAGCATCTCCAAATACTCTTTAAATATGAAGTACTCTCTATTTTAAAGAGTTTATCTTTAAATTAATATTTCAAAAGACTCTTTAATTAACATTTAATTTAGAGAGTGGGTTTGGTTATCCAAATTACCACTCTCTATAATTAAATGCATTTAAAATATTTCGATTTTCAATGTAGGGAAATAATAAAATATTATAGAGAGAAATTAGTTAAAAAAATATAGATGAAAATAATAAATAGTTTTTGGGAGTAGTAAAATTAAATGTTAAATATAAAAAATTTATTGAAATACTTCAAGATTTTAACTTTTTAAATTATAGATATTCTCCAAATAATAAAATATGCTCTTTAAAAATATATTTTTTTCCCTTAAGACGCCCTAAGAACTTTATCAATTAATTTGCACAGGAAGAGGTCGCGAACACATGGCTTTAGCGTCAGAAATGTCAGTATTAAGTTCTCTTAGCTATTTTGGTGTCTTATGGTCACTAACTTCAACTTATTCCAAATTAATTCACAATATGTAATTTTAGTTTCAATTTGATCACATAGCTTGTATCATCATTTCAATGACTATTACAACTACAAATATTATCAAACTGATAGAATTCACAATGAAACCCGAAGTTGTCTTACGAAACATGTGCAATACTTTTATATATAACTTAATCCTTGTTTGGCCCAATTTTATAAGATTCATTTTTTTTTCTTAAACTGATTCTCAATCACATATTTTATTTTTATAGGATCATCAACTTAAAAAATATTTTACTATACAAGACCAACTTTTATCAAAATTTATGAAAAAATTGACGGAATTTGTTTTTTTTTTCAATACCAAAAAACTCTATTGGCAAAAGATAAGTTGCAAGAATTACGAACTGTGTTAGTCTTAACAATTTTGGATGAAACGGTCGAATTGATATATATATATATATATATCAACAAATCAAGACAAATTAAAGTTGAGTAATCAACATGAACAAATATATGACTCGATTGTCTCTTCGAGAAAAATTTCATTCAATATGTAATCATTCGAGTCTCTATATCTAAGCAGTTAACTTGTTACATATTATTTATTTTGAAATGACATCCGTAATCTTATTCTTCATGGACTTTGTACATGTGCGCGTATACGTACGTGTAGAGAGAAACGTACAATTCTAAAAAGGAAAAAGAATAATGCTTTTGAAACAAATAATTTCGGGTTTGACCCGTCGACTGTTGTGCTGGTGGAGCTTTACGCACCATCATTAGATTCGTGTTCACCGTCTTGGCCTTTTCCCCACCACCAACGCCAATACATACACTCCACTTGTATCTATCTTAATTTTCTCCCTTTTCCTCATTAAAATCCAAAACCCCACAATCTTTTGCCCTTCAACCGAATTTCTTTATATCTCCCCTTTCTTCTTCCATTGGGTTTCTGTTTTATCTAATACATTGAAAACAGCACCTTTTTTTTTTTTTTAAATTAATCGACTTTTATACATCTGTTATGTTATGTTGAAGATCAGTGATTTTGATAAAAAATTTTCTTAAAATTTTGATATTGGGATCTGTATTTTGAAGGGAAAGGAACTAGACTTAATATGGGAAATATTGGGAGTAGTGGGGTGCAAGGACGGAGGAGGAGTTCGAGCAGGCGGAGACACCCACCTCCGCCGCCCCCTCCTCCTCCTCCTCCTCCACAGGCTTCTCAACCAGAGATCACAGCAAACAGGTATGTTTTCGCGGCAGCGACTCCTTACCCTACATCCCAATACCCAAACTCCAACGTTCCTGGTTATTACCAACAGTACCCGGGGTACTACCCGCCTCCACCGCCCTCCTTGCCAGTGCCTTTGCCCGCTCCTTATGACCACCACCATGCGGCTGCCCACGCCAATTGGGTTAACGAACGGTACCCGTATGGGCCGCCCATGATGCAGCCTCCGGCACCATACGTGGAGCACCAGAAGGCTGTTACTATTCGAAATGATGTTAACTTGAAGAAAGAAACTTTAAGGATCGAGCCCGACGAGGAGAACCCTGGGAATTTCCTCGTTGCTTTCACTTTTGACGCCACAGTGGCTGGAAGGTATGATAAGATTTGGATGTATATTCTTCAATTTTTTCTCCACCCAATTTTAGGTTTTTTTTTTTTTTTTGGGATTAAATAGTAGTCAAGAATTGGGATTTGATTATAGAATTGGATAACCATAAGCTGCTGAATGAATTTGAGATTAGTATATGGAGATGAAATTCTATCAAAACATTTAAACACGAGAATTTTGACTTCTTGTCATGTTTTCCTGGCAACATTGATAATATATGAAAGTGATCTCATGAATTCGCATCAGCTTCGTAATTTATTGGCTCCCTCAGGAATTATGTTACTGAGTCTATTTGATATTGTGATGGAGTGCTAGTTCTAAATTTGAGTGATTTGTTTGTGTTTGTTAATGACTTCTATTGTGATGTGGTAGGCTGGGAATGTTTTTGTTGTCATGACAAAGAAAATAAAATTTGTTGCTTTTGTGCTACTCATTCAATATAACGTATTTCCATAGGAGAATGTATTTTCCAAAAACTGAAAATAACTCAAATGTTAACTGAGCCTTCTTTAATCCTTTTATTATTTCCTCTCGAGGTAAAGGTGTTGTAGATGTTTAAACGATGAATTCGGGTTTGCCAATGCTTATTTGATGAGATTCTTAATATCCAATCTCCTCAAGGGCTAAATAAATTAAGTAGAGTCCTGTTGTTCTCTGATATCTTGGTTTTGCTTGCTGTTTCTCTCTGCAGTAGTTTTAGTGTTAAGCACATGTTGGGTTTAACATGCACTAGTTCATTTGCATAATTGGAGATAAGTGGTTTTGCATCATTCCGGACCTTTTAATGTGTGTATTGGCTGCATCCCACTGCTTCTTTGTGAGCCAAGGCTGACATGGATTGTGATTTGGAGCCATGATGTTTTTAATTTGTCTTTGGCAAGTTCATGTTCCCTTAACTCAGAAGCATAATCTGAAATAAGTTCTTCATAGCAATCAATTGGAATGACAATGAAGATAATATTGGTGTAAGCAGTTCTTTTCTTGTGAGTGTGTCATGGCTCGCATTAACTTAGATGCTTATCAAATTAAGCGTGTCATTTTGGAAAACTTAAGCCTGATATTAACCTTCAAAAAATTGAGTTCTGACATATTGTCTTATTCTACTCTGTGTGGATTTTTTTTCTTTTCTTGAAGCAGTAATTATGTCTCTTTTCTTTCTTGTTTTTGGGTTCTTTTAGGAAAGACAACTATCATTTCTTGAGTTTCAATTTTCTTATAATATGCAGCATGACCATAGTTTTCTTTGCTAAGGAGGGTGAAGAGTGTTGCCTGACTCCAACTAAAGAAAGCTTACTTCCACCTATTGTGATACATTTTCAACAAGGTTTGGCACAAAAGTTTAAACAACCCCCTGGAACAGGGATAGACCTTTCAATGTTTGAGGAGGCAGAACTGTCGAAAGTTGGTGACATGGATGTGTACCCTCTAGCGGTTAAGACAGAGGCTTCCATAGATAACGAAAATGGAAACTCAGACAGTGGATCCAAGAATTCCCAAATAACCCAGGCTGTGTTCGAGAAGGAGAAAGGTGAATATCAGGTTAGGGTAGTGAAGCAGATATTATGGGTTAATGGCATGAGGTATGAACTACAAGAGATTTATGGGATTGGAAATTCAGTTGAGAGTGATTTTGATGGGAATGATCCTGGAAAAGAATGTGTCATTTGCCTCTCAGAACCCAGAGATACGACTGTCCTGCCATGTCGGCATATGGTACTGTTCCTCCCTCTCCCTTTCCCTCCCTCTCTCCCTCTTCCTCTCCCTCCCCCTCTCCCTCCCTCTCTCTCTCTCTCTCTCACACACACCCACACACATCTACTGTGACAGATGCATGCTTGCACTCTAAATTGGCAAATTTTCTTGTACTGGTATGATTATTGAGAGAAGGTTGGGCATTGGTAGCTTGTGAAATGCATGTGTGATTCTGGTCACTTCTTGATGCAGTGTATGTGCAGCGAGTGTGCAAAAGTATTGAGGTTCCAAACAAATAGGTGTCCAATTTGCAGACAGCCGGTGGAGCGGCTTTTGGAGATCAAGGTCAACAATGGGACTGATGAATGAAGAGGATTAGCTGCTGTCCCTGTGCTTCAAAGTTTATATTTTCTTTTTGTATTTGTGTTTATCGTTTTCCATCTCGTTGCTTTCTTGACTTTAATAATCAGATTGAAAAGCTCAATGGTGTGCAATGTGTTGAAAAATATACCATTGATATAGTTCACGAAACTGGATATGCTGCAGGTCAATTCCTTGAGAAACAATTTTGCATAGCGCTTAGCGGCATTTCCTCTTGCTCACAATTGTTCGATACAAGATGTATAGATCGTTTGTCTTGCTATTAACCACTTGTTCGAGTTTCATTATTTTTCATTTAATTTCTTGTATAATTAATGAATAGACATGACATCTTAGCTACCAGGCCCTTTCATGATCCATAATGGATTACCTTTGGACTCTTGTCCTAAAAGAATTATGAAAAATCTTTCATCCTCTAGTTTCGAATGATGTCCTTTCTGAATTTGATGAGGTATAGATTTTTTTTTTTTTTATTATTATTATTCCTTTTTTCCTGCCAATTGAAAAGATGGGAGTAATGCATAATATGTACCCCACCCCTTTTATATTATTTCTTGTGGGTTGGACAGAAGTATAATTAGTCCATAAACCAAAGGTTGTAAGCAATGTTGTTGTGGGGTCTATTCACACTCAAATTTTGAATCATGGCTTCCAATATTTGAGGCTACAAAAATTCCTCTTATGCTTTGCTTCTTACTTTAGCAAAGTTAATGTTTAGGTTGTGCCACTTTGACTATGTTTCTTGAAAATTAAAGCAAAAAGGGGTTAAATGACTTTATTGTGACGGAGAAATTCTTGCATGACCCTATCAGTTTTTCTTCCTTTCCGAGCCCTACCTTGGTAGAGTACGAATGTCTTTCTCATCTCAAGAAGGGTTCATCTAGAATACCGTCTTTCCCAATCGCCAACCAGCATGGGCGGAGCCATGTACAGTCCAGTGTAGGCATTTGCCTGGGCGGAGCCATGTACAGTCCAGTGCAGGCATTTCAAGCAAATGCCTGCATTAGACTTTTGGTCCAAGCCTATAGTCAATTCAATTTTTTTTTTTTTTTTTTTAAGGTATGTTTTTCATTTATTTATAATCCAATTCATACACTAATTTACCCCACCTCCAAGTGCACGACGATATTTTCTGACTATCTTTCCTCAGCAAAAAATTAAAAATTTTCTTTGAATCTGATCTCATTTTAAAATATTTTGAAAGTTCATTTCTTTCCTAAAACTCAAATGTTCTTGGGCCCTCAAATTTGCAGCAAAAATTTTTTTTATCATGTAATTTTTCTGTTTAATATTAAGGATTTTGATTATGTGAATGTTGAATATTGGTAATATTTGTGATGGATTCTTTAAATTTTGATTTTTGTCAATTAGTTAAATAATTAGTAATGATTTTATGGTGTTCTACCAATTTGTAAAAATTAGTTCTTTTCTTATCAATTAGTACTTAATTGTCACTTGTAGTTTTAGTGTGAAGTGTCAATGTAGAGATTCTTTAAAAGAAAATATTTCGTAGAAAATGTTAATGCGAAGATATCGAATAAAATGAATTTTGATGTTGCACAACTCGCTATAGATCCTAAAATAAGGAAGAAGAGCCCCCAGGGCACATCTCCAAGTGGTAAAAGGGTAGGGTGGAGAAATTCAGCTTTACTTGAGGTTGCTGCGTCAAGGGTTCGAATCCTGAAATATGGATTTGGCTCTTAGGTAAGTGCAAGTATACAAGCAGCCTTCCACCCTATACTATTGGAGGCATAACTTGCGATTTACCTCCCTCACGATGCTCCAGGGTAGGGGCGGTGGGGGACCTTTAAGGTTAGGGTTCAACCTTTAAAATAAGAAAGAAGATAATTATCTTATTAGTGTTGTCGTTATGTTATTTTTAGTATTGTCATAATATCATTAAATCCATAATCGAAAAGTTCGACTTTGATTAAATTTTGCCCGCACTGGACAAAATTCCTGGCTCCGCCCAGTGGTCGACCAGTCGCTCAGTTTGTTCTTAGTCTGATTGTGTTGGATATAAATACCACACCGTGCCTACTACACATGTTAATCATGCAACCCTTTTATGAAAATCATATAGATATCGGGATTTTGATTAAGAAAAAAAGGAGGAATTAGGCGTGATGAGACCTCCAACATCTTATACTATTGAAAGAAAATGTGCTAAGAAAATTCATTAGTGTACCAAATAAACTATAACAGAAATCAGAAAATGGTTATAAAGATACTGATGCATAATTAAGAAGTAAATGAAAAAAAAATTTGATCCCAAAGGATTGTAAAAAATGAGATTTAATGACGATGTAAAGTAATAAAGATCACAACAAGAAGTAAGATTAAAAATAAAAAATAAAAAATAAAAAACAAAGAGAATTTATTGTAGAAGAACTAATGTATTATAAACTGACAATATGGAAAGAAATTACAGATACAATAATAATGTTTAAACAAAACTGACAGATAATTCTTGTATTTATATGCCACGTTTCAAACTCTAGAAGAGTTCTAAAAAGCAAGACAATATATTACAATTAGGAGACCCAATTTTAACGGGAGTTTGTTTCCTTGCTGTTGAATGCAGTTAGATTCCTTTCCAACACCAACAACATGCAATTCAAGACTCCTATTTAAGTCACAACTCTAACAATCTCTATATTGACTCAAATTTCGGTGCAACGAGTGGAGCTCCACAAAATTTCTCCACCTGAGAAATAAACCTGTTTGCATCAAAATGAAATGGCAAATCTCCTCAACGTAGTAACCAGAACTCTCTTTATAAACCATCTTCGTTTGCACTGCGTCCACAAACGACACCCTGTAGCAGAAACCATACAAAATGCTCGAACAGAAGGCCTCTTGCTAAAACTGTCGCCTGTAACGTCCCCAAAAGCATTATGGACACCACAGTACCTACGCTCAATAGATTCAATCCTAGCAACTGAACACAGTACAACCGCTAAAATTGGTGGTAGAGCGAAGTCACCAACGCTCCCTTGACCAATGTTTTGAACCGACCCAGAGCCTGTCACAAGAGGTACTGTATCAAGCTGAATATCCACCATGGTACTGAACTTGTCCATATGTCTCTTAATTAGTTCTGCGTTCCCCTGCAAGATGTACAACTGAGATATTCTCCGTCTCTCTAGTACAATCCGAACACCCTTTCGGACCTACAAGACTCCACTTCCACCAGAAAATTTATACCTTTTTCAATCCAGAGTACTAAGCGATATGAGATTCCTTTTCAGGTCTAGAATATGTCGAACCTGATCATTTGTTCTAACTGTCCCATCCCGCAGCCTAAATCTGACTTGACCGATCCCAACAATACGACAAGACTGGTTATTTCATATTATAACTTCACCTTGCTGAATAGCCTCATATGTTTGAAAGAAATTTCGATTTGAACACATATAATGTGAACATTCCGAATCAAAAATCCACTCCTCGTCAGACCTAGATTTCACGTCAGATACCACAGTCAACATCACATCTCCGTTGTCTGAAAAATCCTCAACTACATTTGTTTCGTCTGACGTCAAAGGTTGCACTCCACAATTTGCAGCTAAATCACCTTCAGCCTACAACTTATCGCAATCCTTCCGAATATGTCCCTTACATTTGCAGTAGAAGCAAAACAAATTGCTGTTATTTTTTTATCTGCCCTTTCGTCGACCACAATGAGATACAAGAGCTTCCTCATCCCTTGATGTAGCTCCAACCAAATGCTTCAACTTCACCTTCGAGTGCAAAGTATCATAGATGTTGTCTATAGTCAAAGTTTCTCGACTATACAAAATAGTTTTCGCATAAGAGTTAGGCAACGAATACAATAGGATCAAAGCCAGATCCTCTTCATCGTATTTAACCTCTAACGTCTCCAGATCTGCAACTATTTCCTTGAACACGGCAATATGGTCCTCCAATGACCCTCATTCTGCCATGCGATGAGAATATGGCTTCTGCTTTCGAGCCAGTTCACTCATGAGACTTTTAGTTATGCATAACTGCTCCAATTTCAACCACAAGGCAATCGTTGTTTTCTCCTTCAAAATATCTTGCAGAATATTGTTGGATAAATGAAGATGGATCTGCGATAAAGTCTTCTAACCCCTCCTTTGTTTCTCTTCCATTGTCCAATCAATTGGCGTCTTCTCAAAACCTAGCAGCGTATCATCCAAATCCAACTGCGTCAAAATAGCCCTCATCTTTACTTACCACAAAGAAAACCTTGTATTATGATCCAACAACGAAATGTCATACCACATGGTAGTCATCTCTGCAAAAACCTCAATCAATCCATAGAAAAAGAACCAAGCTCTAATACCACTTATTGATCCCAAAGAGTTGTAAAGAATAAGATTTAATGATGATGTGAAGTAATAAATATCACAACAAGATTAAAAGTAAAGAAATAAACAAATAAAATTTATCGCAGAGGAACGATTTTTATAAACTGACAATATAGAGAGAAATTATAAATATGGCAACAATGCTTAAACAAAATTGACAGGGGAGCCTTATATTTATATGCCACGTTTCAAACCCTAGAAGAGTTCTAAAAGATAAGAAAATATATTACAATTAAGAGACCCAATTTCAACGAAATTTTGTTTCATTGTTGTGAAAATGTTGTTAAACTCCTTTTCAACACCAACAACACGCGATTCAAAACTCTTATTTGAGTAACAACTCTAAAAAAAAATCATGTGATATATGAATAGTAATATATGATGGTGGATGGTGTTTATGAGGATATGTGGGCAACAAACACATATTGACAGATATTCTTAACTCCCCTATTGTCTAAATTGTTCTCCGCATATTAAAGAAATAATTCGCTAAGAATAAGGAAAAGTTTTGAACAGTAGTGACATCGTTTGGGTTTAATCTCGATTATTATATTACTCGAAAACTTTCAACTTTGTATTAGCAACGAAGAAAATTTGTACTGTATATTAGCTTTACTTCATTTTTGAAATGGAAATTTCTTGTATCAGCTTGAATGTACACATTCAATGTAAAAAATATAAAACATATAGTCCTCTAAATTAAATAATTCAACGAATATGCATCTGACATTTTATATATATATATATGTATTTTATTGAATATATTCCTATTCCGGAACAGAGACACACAATTATTTTTGTATAATTACTTTAAAGAACAAAAAGCTTACATAAATGCCTGAAGGCAACATTGGTGCTATCACGAGTCATCTTAAGGCGTGGTTAACTTTTTGGCTTTTGTAATAATTACAATTCCCCTTATTTTCTGTTGGATTTAAT